ATACATACATACATACATACATACATACATACATACATACATACATACATACATACATACATACATACATACATACATACATACATACATACATACATACATACATACATACATACATACATACATACATACATACATACATACATACATACATACATACATACATACATACATACATACATACATACATACATACATACATACATACATACATACATACATACATACATACATACATACATACATACATACATACATACATACATACATACATACATACATACATACATACATACATACATACATACATACATACATACATACATACATACATACATACATACATACATACATACATACATACATACATACATACATACATACATACATACATACATACATACATACATACATACATACATACATACATACATACATACATACATACATACATACATACATACATACATACAGTATATTGCAAATAATGTAAGTGATTGCTATGAAAAAATGGTAAAATCAAAGTTTAAGGCTGAAAAGCAATAATTTGCTGTTTTGTTTATAGCATATTAACTTTTTTTTTATTTTTTTTATTCTCTAATACCCTCTTTTTTCATTCTACTTTTATGTTGCTAATAACAATCAGAATAAAGTCTTTATGTAAATATATCTTTCATAGGTAATATGGAATTAATGCAGGCAAGTTTCTGTTAAGATAAGTTTGCACCTTGCAAATCAATTCCCCTCACCCCCCATTTTTATTCTTCGTCTTTTATGTTCTTACAATTTCCTGGTATCAGTAATAGCCAGTAGCTAGAGTGTCTATTTCCTGTTGTTTGAAAGTCAGTGTGTGGATATATGCTCTCATGTCAACAGTTCATCAGCTATCATATTGACAGATTTTTGCACCTTTGATACTTAAACGGAAAACACTGTGCTTAGTGGCTCACTGGGACAAGGCTCCTGAGTACTGATTGGGAGTTCATACCTCACCGATGCCTTGCATGACTAGGACCCAAACTATAGTTAGCTCACATAAGACATTGTTTTCTTTTCAGAGTGTTGGTGTAAGTAGGCACTATGGATTGTTTATGTCTGTTGGTTATGGACTCTTCATCCAAGGTGTTATGTCATCCCTGTATCACACTTGCCCTAACAGCGTTACTATCAGATTTGGTAATGTAATTTTCAATGTCAAGTCTACTTTGAAATTTCAGATGTATACTTGTTTTATAGTTTAAATGTAATTAATTGTGAAGAAAACCATATTCCTGTTTAAAGATATTCATTTTTCATTGGTGTTTATACACCATTAGTGTTACTTTCACTTATTGTCAGCATTTCCAGTTAACATAAAATAGTTAAGATATTAGTAAAATTTGTACTGTGCTAATAGTTTAATATTCTTCCTACAGACATGATGTTCATGTATGTGGTGGCGGTTGCTGCTATTGTGAGCATGTGGGGATTCCGCCACGGTGACGTTACACACCACGTTTACCCCACGATGGTTATGATTGGTATGATACTTCTGATGGCAGAGGCACGAGAATGGGTCAGTCAGGCAGCCTTCTGGAGTATTCTGTCTCTGTTCTATGTCTTCCTAATGGTGACAAACACCATACTGCTCTCAAAGTATGGAGTTTGGTCCTTTTGTGAGTATGATCACTTTACCAACAATTTTTGGGGTATTTGAAAGTATTCATAATATTGTCTCCTGCAGTTTTTTAAATCAATTTGTTATACATTTTTTAACTGCATGAAGGTTAGACATATTGCCTATATAATAAAGAATTTTATGCCTTTATTTTCCTGTGTATGGTGTTATCAGTGAACCTTTTAGAATATTAAGAGGTACATTTACAACTTAATAAGTTTCATACTTAATAAAGTTTGATGGAAGATTAATATTCTGAGGCAAAATATTATGCTACCAACCAGAGCAAAATGTTCTTAAGATTTTTAGTTTCATCTTTTAAAAATCTTTTAGGGAAAAATAACTGTATGATTTATTAGCACTTAAATAAGATATAGTGTGTATGTGCAGTAGTAATCATAAGATTTCATTCCTAGTAGTCTGAGATGAAATTCCACATTGTATGAATATTGCAGCTCCATACAAGATGCTAATGGTGTGGAAGGGATGGAGACCTGTTGCCGAGAAATTGCATAATGAGTTATGGGGTTCGGCAACTACAACCAAGCCACTGCAGATTGTGAGGATTGTCATAGGACTGGTGATAAATTCTGCAATTATCCTATTTGGTTGTTTAGCTGATCCAAATATCTACAGTTATATCCTCATGGTGTGCCTCATCAACATGGGACTTTACTTCTTAAACTATCTAATCGCAAAGGTAAAATTTTGTGGTTTTAGACTACTTTTACATGATGCAAATTATGGTAGGATAGACCTTGCCACTCACAGTAGAAATGTTGAGATGAATTTCACCATTTATATCTCTTGATTGCTACATTTCTCTTCTGTTCATAAGATTGCATCTCACACTCGTAAGCAGTTTTTCTGGTTTATATATTATTTAATAGATACCAGGCCAGCCTAACAGAATATCATAATATATATCCTTGTTCCAGTCTAAACTACCCAATACAACTGAATCCTGGTTAATATTCAGTTAACAGAATTGATCCTAATAACATATTTCAACCTAGTTATAACAGTGCTTTTTGACACCATTTTAGTAACTACACATCTTTCTCCCATAAGCTATTCAAGAAATGTTTTACCAACAGATATGTGAGAGGGAAAGTGTGAGAGCTCTTCCCTCCATAGCTCTGGTATCATCCTTGCTATTTTGGATCCTAGCACTGGTGGCATTTTTCTTCCACAGCACCGATTCAGAGGTGGGTCAGTGTGCTTTGTTGATCTGCTGCTGGGAGTATGGGATGAAATGAATAGGTAGAGGGTTTAGTAAGAACACTTCTTGTGACAGTTTCCTAGAAGAGAGCATGATTAAATATTTTTGTGGTAGCATCCAAGAAGAGAGAGAAATTTATAACTACAACTGTTTCTTGGAAGAGAGGGAAGTGAATAACCTTCTGAAGCTTTTTTTTTTCATTAGAATCAAAATTGTAACTTTCTGTGTCTGTTTCCTTGAAAAGAAATAAATTTATAACTTTCTTTGTTTCCTAAAAGCAATAAACCTTTTACCATCTGCAAAGGTGTTTCCATAGAAAGGCAAATTTTTTTTTTTTTTTTGTGTGTGTGTTCCCTACCCCTTTTTCAGATGATCACCTATGTATGCAATATGTATAATGATATATTCTGTATCTCAGTCATGTCTTCTGTTGTCTTACAGGCTTCACCATCTGTGTCCCGTGCCAAGAATTCTCCCTGTGAGTTCTTCGGGGTTTTTGACACTCATGATGCCTGGCACCTCTTGTCTGCCTTAGCACTTTTCACGTTCTTTGTGGTAAGTGTTTTGTTTTGTTTGTTTGAATGAATATATGTACACTCATAAAATGTTGAGTTTTTACCTGTGGTGTTATGCATATAACTAGAATGTTTTTCCTTGTTTGTATTTTTAAGTTTTGGTTTGTTTTCTATCTCATTTTTTTATCTTTTTATTATTAATTTTTATGCCTATCTCTCCTTGCTCTTGCAAAGCAATTTGTTTTTTTCCATCATTCCATACCTTCTCCTCATTTCTTATCTTTACTTAAATTCCTTTCTCTCAGTTTATCTTCTGTCTGTCCATTTTCACTTGTTTATTAGCTTACAAAATTTATTGTGACATGTATACTACCATTAAAATTATTGTTATTTTCCCTTCATCTGCAGGGTATCCTGACTTTGGATGATGATCTTTGCCACACATGTTCAGATAAGATTCATGTGTTTTAGTTTAACCATTTGGTACTACACTGCAAGCCTTGGTAAATCCTCTTTTTCATTATTAATTTATAGCTATTTAAAGTGTTTTGTTTGAATGAGTAAATCTGTGTTGTAGTAAGATTATTGATGGTTAAAGATATTTTCATAATGACTCACAGATATGTATGTCTTGTAGCATTAAAACACTAATGCAGGTTGTTTGTTGATGACATTTGCCCCAAAACTATTGGTAGTGCTTATATTTCATTTGTGTTTCTGTGCTGTGTTTTTAAAGACTTTTCATGCCATTATGATAACTGAAACATTTCTTTGCTTAATGGTAGGGTTTTTTATGGATACTGAAAAAACTATTCATGTCATGATTGTTTCAATTTGTATATACATGATTGTGACTGAACCAAAATATTTTTTGTATATCATTATTAAATACCTGACTCTTTCTCATTTTATTTTTCCTTTCATAATCACTATGAACACATCCCATTATTTTTGTAAGTTGAATTAGAATAACTTAAAAGGTTTTCTGATATTCGTTTGTATTGTGCTACATTGATATAAAATTGCCAAATTCAAAATGGACTTAAATGCTATGTATTTACTGAATGTTTGTATTAATGACATGAGTGAATAAAGAAGTCATGCTTGGATATTGATTTTGATTACATATTTCTTCCTGAATATTTGTGATTTAATTTCTTTAACCCATAATCATAATTACGTTAACTTATTGTATATTAGTCTTATGCAGTTTGTAGACACAATGACAATTTGTGTTTTACAGTTAGGTTCAAAGAACTACAAGCCTATAAAGATTAACATGTAGATGGGGAAGGGGGCAATCCCTACAGTCCCCCCCTCCTTTGCAGATCTGTCACTGACTTTGATTTGGGTTATGATGTCTGAAGAAGAGAGAGAGAGAGAGAGAGAGAGAGAGCGATAGAGAGAGAGAGAGAGAGAGAGAGAGAGAGAGAGAGAGAGAGAGAGAGAGAGAGAGAGAGAGAGAGAGAGAGAGAGAGAGAGAGAGAGAGAGAGAGAGAGAGAGAGAGAGAGAGAGAGAGAGAGAGAGAGAGAGAGAGAGAGAGAGCGAGCGAGCGAGAGAGAGAGAGAGAGAGAGAGAGAGAGAGAGAGAGAGAGAGAGAGAGAGAGAGAGAGAGAGAGAGAGAGAGAGAGAGATTTATCCAGTAGGGTTTCTTAAGCGAAATGGGTTCGATCACTGAAGTTCTCAACTAACACTTACAAAAGTGACGCAAAACGATCAATTATCTTTAGTTATTTAAATCTATTCATCAGAGAATCCTCACGGATACCCTAAGGAAAGCTGCATCGTACCAAGAAACGCAAAAATGATCCAAATATGCCAAGGAAGAAAAATAAACACACGATATGTTATGGGTCACACTTTAATCTCCTTACGGCTCTTGGCAACAAAGGAATCAGGTGGAAGCGATAGCAGACGGAGGACTCGCCTTCAGTATTGAAGTTACGGAGATTTACATTTAACCTAGAACCTCGAAACCTGTAGGACTAAATGTACTAGGACGTGATAAACCAATGTAACATGATATATATGTATATATGTGTGTAATGCAACATAATGGTGTATGATACATGTGACAACATAATGAAGCATGATTATATAAGACCACTAAGTGTAACACAGCTTAGTGACAGATGGACAGATAATGGCAACCAGGATTTGCCAAATCGATCTAACATGAAATCAGCGACTATAGATGCTTTTTATACCATTAACAAACAAGTGTAACCCAAGCAAACAGCATATAACATCCTGTTCATGCAGTGTAAGGCATGTTCTAAAGCTTGTAGATAATGCAATGGAAACAAAACTATAAAGCACACTTGTCTGACAGCGATCTATAAAGCTTTCAGAATTAGTGATATTTAGTATTGCTATACTGTATTTTTTGCGTAACACTTGCAGATGAACAAATTCACATTCATGCATTGCTAAATTCCACATGGAATCGTTATAAAGCTATTTGAGACATGAACTATATATAAGTACAGTAACATGATAATGGTACATTTAGTAGTACGTCAGGAGGGAAAGGTCAGCACTATGTAGATTTTGGCATACTGGCCCTCTGCTTGGCACTGATACGGCCTGATGGTGTCGAAATCTCCCTAAATTTTTAAATCGAGGAAGCGCATTTCCTTCAGAAAATACCTCGGAAAACTGTATTTCCTTGCTAACAGCTGCACAGCACACACGTACTCCACTTACATACAGACCATACATACGCGTATATTATCATATTATAAGATTATAGAACTACGACTCATTTTGCACATGGCGTAGAATAACCTGCTTAGTACATGTATAGACCCACGCCAACACCGACAAAATCGTCTGCGGTATAGATGCTAACACAGCAGACGTCCGGTGGTGCGTTGAGGCGATGGGAGCATCAGAAACCACACACAGCTGTCTCACACGAAAACTAATGCTGGCTGTCTGACCTACACACTGGGAAGGCAACAACTCTGACGTTCTACACAGTGAAAAGACAGCAAAGTCAGCAACAGTAACATTGAGAGAGTGGCCGCGGTGATCGTGTGGTGAGCCGTGGCGACGAGGTGCTGGGGGACCACTGGGGTAAAGAAGTCTTGGTTTTAGAGAAGGGATTTGGAAGGGCATGCGACTCGCTAAGAGCTGTTTCCACTGTAATAAAATGGTCCGAGATATGTTTGTGCACTTCTTACGGTTGCCGAGAAATGTCCGCCATCTCCTGCGTCGCCAGTATCACCACCAGCACCATATCCTACGCCCCCCATATCCAGCCCTACAGCTTATTGCGTATATCGGTACAGTAGGAGAGTATTCACATTATTATTTTTAAGAGATTTTACACACAGAATGAGTCTGCAGATTCTCTCGCAACTGGTAGACTCCGTGGTCTGCAAAGGTATCTCATGTCCGTTTATGTATGTGGTTGTGAACGAGTATTTTTAAGAAATGGGGGGGGGGGTAGAGAGAGAGAGAGAGAGAGAGAGAGAGAGAGAGAGTGTGTGTGTGTGTGTGTGTGTGTGTGTGTGTGTGTGTGTGTGTGTGTGTGTGTGTGTGTGTGTCCCTGTACATGTGTATAATATATCCCGGTGCGTGTGTGTATTCACGCGCCACTAAAACTTCCAGAACAACAAATTTTGCTTCTATATTACATATTATATTATCATATGTTGAAAACGATACAATTATAACATCTTAACATCAATACTACTCTATTTCGGCCTTCACCTCCGACCCGTGACGAAGCCAATGACACAAAAACATTCAGGTTCTGATGGAAATCCTGGAGCAATACTCGAAAACACGACGACGACAAAAATAATATCATAAGACAAAAATCAAATCTTTGGTTGATAATAACGTAAATAATCCTGTACGTAACAACAATTTCATGTAGGTAAGCACTTATGTGACCCGCGGTCACACTGAGCATGCATTTTTCATGAAATATGACTAGAGTAATGTGAGTAAATACGTAATCTTGAAGGTACGAACAAAATCAGGATGTTCAGTTCAACAACTCTCCATGAGTCAGTGGAAGGGAAGGCAGAGTGATTTGGCAACAGACCAATTTCTCTTTCACCGAAGTAGTAGGCCTTCCTCTTCCTCACTGCGC